ACATCTGAAAACTGCTATTTTTATGCTGCCAAGAAAATATTTTCTCACTTTTACACCATCACTGGAGGGACGCGGACTCCGGGGGCCAATGAGGCCAGAACATCGGATATGTAACTATCATCATCCTTAATCTGTGAACGTACAATTAAAAGAGAACTATGGGGTCAGTGCTTTTCCCCTTAGTTCTCCTAAGGGTAACGGGAGGGCACAAAAAGTAGGGTCCTCTCGTCACCCAAAGCTCAGTATATAGGGAGCTACAGCTCGCGGTAACCTAACCTATTAGGTGAGCTGTGCGGAATGGTGTAAGTGGGTGCAGAGGTGAAAGGGGGTGTAGAGGTGTAAGGGGGTGCAGAGATGGAAGGAGGTGCAAAGGTAATATGGAATACAATGGTGGAGAGATGAAAAGTTGAAGAGATTAAAGTGGGTAAAGAGGTGGAAGGGGGTGCAGAGTTGAAATGCAATGGTAGAAGGGGGTGCAGAGGGGAAATAGGATGCAATGGTGGAAGGGGTGCAGAGATCAACGTGAGTGCAGAGGTGGACAGAGGTGAAATATGATGCAATGGTGGAAAGGGGTGTAGAGATGGAAGTGGGTGCTGAGGTAATATGGGATACAATGGTGGAGAGATGAAAAGATGAAGAGATGAAAGTGGGTGCAGAGGTGGAAGGGGTGCAGAGCTGAAATGCAATGCAATGGTAGAAGGGTGTGCAGAGGTGAAATAGGATGCAATGGTGGAATGGGGTGCAGAGATGAACGTGGGTGCAGAGTTGAAATCTGATGCAATAGTGGGAAGGGGTGCTGAGATCAACGTGAGTGCAGAGGTGGAAAGAGGTGCAGAGGTGAAAGTGGGTGCAGAGTTGCAATGCAATGGTAGAAGGGGGTGCAGAGGGGAAATAGGATGCAATGGTGGAACGGGGTGCAGAGATGAACGTGGGTGCAGAGGTGAAATCTGATGCAATAGTGGAAGGGGGTGCAGAGATGAACATGGGTGTAGAAGTGGAAGGGGGTGGAGAGGTAATATGGGATGCATTGATGGAAGGTGGTGCAGAGGTAGAAGGGGGTGCAGAGATGAATGTGGGTGCAGAGTTGAAATGCGATGCAATGCTGGAATGGGGTGCAGAGGTGAAATGGAATGCAGAGATGGAAGGGGGTGCACAGTTGAAATGCGATGCAATGGTGGAAGGGGGTGTAGTGGTTGAAGGAGGCGGGAGAGGGGTCACAGCGTCTCTTACTTCAGATTGATCGTATAGATCCCGGCGTCCCCGTCCGTGACGCTCTTCAGTATCAGCGTGAAGACGTCTTCGTTCTGCAGAACATCGCAGCCAACCAGCATCCGACCGTCCTTCATCCACTGCACCTCGGGGAAGGGGTCTCCGGCGATGGCGCAGGTAATAAGGGCGTTCTGACCCGGAAATAAGGTCAAGGGTTTTGGTTTGCTGATGAACCACGGCTGCGTTCCCTCCTGAGGTTCTAGGATCACAGAGGAAAACTTTTATTTTCGGTTATCTGTGTAGAAAGATTCCTTTATCATATAATACCGGTAATAGATAAATAAGAATCTGCGGGAATGTGTCAGAGAAGGAAGCAGAACCCGTGCGTCATGTGATTATATTTAACGCGTCTTCAGTGTACACGACTTTCATGACAACAATGGCGGAGACTTTGTGGACCATTTATTTGGACCTGAAGCCTCCAGATTGAGGAAGCGGCCGCGTCATGTATATTCCAATGTCAGATCCTAGAACAACAAAACTTTCTCCAGGGCCGGCCTTAGGCCTTTAGGCGCCCTGTGCGAGAAAGCTTTACAGCGCCCCTCAGTGACCACACCCCTCAGTGGCCACACCCTTTAGTGGCCACACCCCCAGTAACCACACCCATTTATTACCCATATTTTTGGTAAAATATAAAAAGCGGGGTCACGTCGGGTAAATAGACACCAAACATGTCATGCTTTAAAATTGCGCGCACCCGCGAAATCGCAAAAAATTACCATGCCCAATATTGACCATAGGTGACGCTTTAAAAGCTTTTACCGCTCATCAGTTTAGTGTTATCAGTGATTGATAGCCCTACAATTATTGCTCTCATTCCGACGTTCGCGACGATATGTAACATGTGCGGCGTAATGGGCGAAATCGTCGTTTTCACACGTATGCGCACCCGACGCCTGTTTGCATGCGTGTATGTATGGGGGGGACTTTAAAAAAATATTTAATTCTTTTTTATTTGTAACTTTACATTTTTGGGGGGGCAACTTTATTGCCATCCCATAGGGGGGTTAGAAAACCCCCTTATGTGATAGCAAAATATGTGACAGGTCCTCTTTATGGAGACATCAGGGGTCTCCAAGACCCCTAATGTCACCTAGGACCCCCCTGAAGAAGCTGATGAAGCA